AACCACAATTGAAAGTATGACTTAGCTCAATCAATTACAATTACTTATCAATTTGATATAGTAGTCGATTTAATCGAACTTGTTCAACAAGGTGCGTATGAATATTTTCAGAAAGACTATGAAATAAATCATTTTAAAAAGAGTAAAGATGAACAATACACTTCACACTTGAACAATATGATTTCACACTTTCACACTCTTGATAACAATGATATTGGAAGATAGACAAAAACAGGTAGATTGCTCATCTAGAGTAACTTAATCGAAATAAATAGGCATGTCAGTTCTGTTCTCACCTCTCTTCTTTTCGAACAAACCTTAAAATCCTTTGTTGTTTTTATCTTTCTAAGCGTTTGTGTCTTTTTAATTATCTAAATGGTATTTATCTGTTCGAGTGAAAATTGTTTGCTTTCTGTGCTTATATTATTTTTATTTATCTGTAGGTGTGTGTATGTATGTATGTATTTGCTTCCCTTTTTGGCTTTTATTTTGTCGACAATCCCTTTGATAGGCTTCTCAGTCTTTATTTTTCTCTTCAATAGCTATTCAGCTAATTGCTTCCTCACACAAACACAAATATATACAGATGTATATATTATTTCGCTTTCAATGTATGAATAGACTATAACGAAGAAGAGCAATCATTTCAGTAGTGTCTTTCGTTAACGGATAAGTGAGGCATAGTTTTCTTATCATATTTATTATTATGGTCTAGAAACATTTTTAGACTAAGGTGTCATGAGATATTAGACACAGGTGTCTATTGTGTATTATGGCAGTATGTTTTATACGTATAAAGCGGTTAAAAAAAAATAATCTCTTACAATATTAACTTAGTGAACACAGTATTTCTTCTTATTTTTCAGTAGAAAGTCACCAAAATAATTGATTGGAGAAAACGTTGAGTGTAGAAGTTAATCACCTAATGCGTATAAATATACTGAAATAAGTTGACGTATATGTTGGACTTACATATGTACTCAATCACGTGTCTCATTCATCAAGAATATTACTTATCATAGGTTTACGATGCATACATGTTTTCTTTCTTATTATGTCTGGTATTTAAATAGTTTGATTCTGTTAATCATTCAATGTACGAATAAATTCTGGGCATTAAGTCTTCATTTTGATTACATAAGTCTGAATGAAGAGTTTTTATAGTTGCTTAAATTATAACACTTTATGGTAGATTACCCCATCAAATTTACAAGAAATAAGATTTTTGACAGCAGCTTGATCGAGACAAAAAGATCCTGTCCATACAAATTCAACTAGCCATTGGTAGTAAATTATAAATTTCTCAACTATCAGATATTCTTTTTCTGATTGAAATCCAATTTTCTGTTTTTTGCCAAATATATATGTTCATTTTGGTGTAGTATTCATCATGGACTGACATAAATTGGGGAACTATTGAAATCCTGTTGACAATGGACAGCTGTTTCGTCCTGGCATGAGACTCCTCAGCAGCAAGCACACATGGTCTAGCTAGGGATCAAACTTAGTACCTGGTTTTACAACGAACACGTTAACCACTCAGCCACTGAGTCCGAGTTCATTGGCTCATAGTTTACAACTTCTGTCAGTTTGCTATATAGCGTGACTATCTCGCTAGGTCTTCACTTGTCATCCGCTCATAAGTGACATACTTCCAGATGGATATCCTGAAGTTCTAATGAGAAGCCATGACCTGTGAGATCAAACAGTTGGAAGGGAAGCGGATGGCGACTGAATACCTTGGGTGATGGTCACTCTATGAAACACTGAATTCGAACTCAGTTGCTGGGTGGTTAACGCACTCACTTTGAAACCGGTAGGACCTGAGTTCGACTCCTCGTGGGGTTGTGGGTGCTTACTGTTGAGGAGTCCAATAGTATGACGAAGCAGCTGTCAGTTACTCCCAAATTTTCAATGGTTCTCTAACTGAGGTCAGTCAATGATGAATACTACCTCTTTTAAACTCCTAATTAACCTCAAAATACATATTTTTATTTAGCATTATGCATAACCATTTCAGGTTAGCATTTATCATTGACATCCTTCTATTGGAGATCAAATTCTCAAAGAAATAGTAGACTGATAATAATGATAGGCGGTGGCTAGCAGTGGGATCCAAGATACCAGTTGCATTCTATTTGGAACTCGTCACCTGGATGTACTTGCCCTCCAGTGAGTGATGGTTTTTCCACTCACACTCGAAACCAGGGTTGGTCACCTGAAACACCAGATCACTATCAATTAGGCCAATGAGTCGTGATAGGCATTCTTTGTGCAACAGATGTAGCATAGTTGTGATGTTACGGCTTATAAATGTCCTCATACTGAATTTCCCTGCTAACCACTATTTGCCATTATTACCAAAAGTGGAAATACTTGTAATATGGTGACATCTACACAAAAGCTTATACAACAATATGGACCGATTAGTTCGGTCCAATCAACGACGAGAAATTACAAGTAATAACAAAAATGGTAGACTGTTAGTTGTAGATAGTGATTATACATATTCATTTTCTTTTTTCTTTGAACTCAAAAGGTTATTTATTTGCATAAAAGAAGTGAGCTTTCTAACACTTCTTAGTTTTTAATGATCTTCCAAAGGATTTCGAAAATTTGAGTTCAAACTAATCAAACTAATCGTTATATCCTCTCCTCAATAAGTCAACCGATTGACATCAGTTAATTATTGTTCAATTGTTTAATTATTGTATGTTACAGAAAAGAAAGTTCAGATAGTTATGATTTGGTTTGCCGCCTAACTTTGTATTGGTAGTTCAGTTGGCGGTTTGCTTAAACCTGAGGCTGCTAAAAAATGTCTTTTCACTTAGCATATTTCAGCAAATTCTTCCCATTCTGTTTGTTTTAATCTTTTAAACATATCTTCTAAATGTATCATGTACTCTCGCAAACTTTTAAATTATTTTCCCAACTATCGTTTCTCAATCTAAAAACGAAATAACGTTACGTTGGATGGGAATGGATATATAAATGCTTAAAAATACAGCACGTTGCTATTCTTAAGATACCTATATTGAATTGTAGATTTTTGTAACAGCTGGCTGAGAAGCCACTACCATGGTTACACTCGATTTTGCATTCATCTCTAAGTCTAGACCAGACCTTATTGTAACACTAGCCACCCATTTCACACTGGTGCCTTGAATACAGTTATTGTTAACATCATTAAGATGCAACAACTATTTCTTTGGAAAGAATTGTACGGGGAGTGCATTTGTATCACATATGTTGTTTGAAACAGGGCTATTATTACTATTATTATTAGACAATTCAATTGTACCATTTTATATGCTTGCGAAATGAATCGAATTCATTTCATATGCTCTTAATCTTTCACCATACACCCCAAATTTAAAATTCTTGTGTAATGAGCTATCATTGCTCACTATCGCTTATTTTCTTACGGCTTTATTTGCTACCTTATTCTTTCATCTTATTGTATTACATATTATTCTCAACTATTATTCTTATTCTCGTCATTTTCAATCTACTTTAGTTCATTATGATTTAATCGTGGTTTTTAGCATATCCTTTTCTATTGTTCTACCATTATTGCATACAGTTTAAACACCATCTTTATTGTTCTCCTCCTTTCATCAAATTTCCTAATACCTTCAAATGTGGTCATTCTATTGCAACACTATTACTGAGTGAATCTAAAGGCCACACTAGCAACGACTGAAATAGCCAATCGGATTTCGTTATCTTGTCGGAAAGGCAGATTTTCGTAGAATATGCAAATCTTACTGTTTAATTCAGTTATGGTTATTTAGGGTCATTTTTGGAGTAACTCCTAATGCTTTGTATCATTTTTTTGCGTCTACTGATTGACTTTTATAGTCTGCTGTGTCATTATAAAAAAGAAGCGAGTCTTAATTGTTCTCTGTAATGGTTGATTAGGTCTTGAAGTTTATCATTTGTGTTTGTTGCTATTTATATTGATATCTACTTGTCAAAGTTGTATTCGGTGTGGATTTTACGACTGAAATGAAACAAATGGACACTAATAGGTCATTGTGCACACTTCTTCAGTTTAGTGAGCATGTATAAGATATGCAGCATATGAAGTGGATTTGGTAACATTCCACAATGATTACTGTTTTTATTAATTGATGCAATTTCCTGTTATTGTACCTGATCGAATTGCTCGTTTTCTTTTGGTAGATGGGCTCCTTCGGGGATGCCTTGATATTTATTATGTTGTAGTCTAGTTGATGACCAGCAGTGCAATCCAGGACGCGCGTTCCTTGTCCTCGCCTTACAGTAAATTTTATGGCAGATGAATTTTATACTAGTTACTACAGACATTCAATAGTCGTGCCAGAAAACTGTTCCAGAATTTTAGTTAGTTTACAGACAAGTGATTTTTAGTTCGCCAAAACTAAAGGTTGACACACATTTTCATTCCCCCAACAGTTTCACATATGTATTGAGATCTGTAGTTAAACAGGTGGGGTCGAACTAATAAAACGAACAGGTAAGCTTATCACCAGTACTTTCAAGGAATGTTCCTAGAAGAAATATACGGATTTTTTGTCAAAATATTTAGACGAATCACTCTTTTCTTGATATGAAGTACACAAACTACCACCGGAATGATAATGTACTTGAATCAGTTGGATCTATTCATTGAATAAACGTTCATTAGGATCTTCGTTGCTTACGTTTCTATACACATGGTTTAAGTTACTATCTTTCAATGTGGTAAGATTTCACGTTGCTTACCGACTATGGGTAGAAATAATTGCTTATAAACTTCCTGACTACTTCCAATTTGATAGTAGTAGAAAAAGCATCCTTCGCTATGAAAATGATAAAATAGCAACGGGTTTCACGGTTCAGAAAATTACCACTGAGTATTGAGACTAACTGAATCAACTAATCAAAATGAAAATCAAGTTCACTTAGTATGTCTCTGTGTTATTATGACACAATTAAAGATTCATTTTATGGTTGTTTCATTTTTATTTATCATTCAGACGATTTGGAACAAAATGCGCTGGTTGTGATAAAGGTATTCCACCCATGGAAGTTGTTCGTACAGCTCAAGAAAATGTTTACCATCTAGATTGTTTCTCGTGTGTGAGTTGTGCTCGCATGCTGAATACAGGTGATGAATTCTACCTACTACACGACAGAAAGTTAATGTGCAAATCTGATTTCGAAACTGCCAAAGCACGAGGTTAGTAGATTTTTGGCCTATTTATTTCTTCGAACTTCTTAAAAGAGTCTGAAAAAATAACAGTTAATCTTGCGTAAGTCCTTAAACAAGTATTTTGCAGAAAAGTAAGCACTAGTTTCCAACTATGGTTCGAAGAAGTTACATAGATTATCAATAATTTTCACTAGTTGAGTAGATGTCATCTGAATATCAGAGAGTGATTTCACTTTTCAGGCACACCTAGAAATGTTCAGTTCACTTTGATATAAATAATGAAACTTACAAGTTAGCTTCAATGGTCTGTCATTTATTGTCTTCTTAAATGGTGCGCGCAACCATTTCACGAAACTTCCAAGTCAGATATTAAATTACTGTTTGTTGATCTGCTTGTAATTCTCCTTGTTTTACTGGATCGAGTTGTCTGACATCTGTTGGCATATCAAGCTTTTACGAGGACGCCTCAATACTGTCTGAATAATCCTTATGGTAATTTACTTGGGTGTGGCTGGAAGAGGAATCCAGGATGGGTGCTTCGTCCTATTTAGGACTCGTCAGCCGGGTGTACCTGGACCCCAGTGAGTGATATTGTTCCCACTGAGACGCGAACCTCGTATCAGTCGCTTCAAACGCCATGGCATCGTCTACTTAACTACGGAGGAACGATAGCTACCTCTTGCACAGTGAGCATTACTTATGACTATTTGTTGATATGCTTGTAATTCTCCGTTGTTTTACTGGATCGAATTGTCGAACAATTTGATTTAGCGTACAGCTAGTAGTCAACGAGGATTGAAGCATTGGAAGGGGTTTTATTTTACTTAGCGGGTTCATACACATTAACACTTGAGTGGTTGCAAGTATCAATAAATAATAACTGACAGGCGTTGCATAAAAAAGGCCGTTGTACCTCAGTGGTCTAGTGGATAACTTCTTGGTGTTTGAAGCGACTGGTACAAGGTTTGAGTGTCTGTGAGAAAAAAATCACTCACCGGGGTGCAGGTACGTCCAACTGACGAGATACGTGTCCTAAATTCTTCTGCTAGCCACAACCAAGTAAGTTATCAGGAACTAAAGCCTGTTGTTTAGTTAAAGCGTAGGCAACTACTGACACTGGTGGATAGTGTCTAAGAAACTGTTCAACATGAGCTGTAAGTGCTGTGAATAGTTTACAAGCATTTTTGTATAGCCCTAATGTCAAAGAACTGATCAACTATGTCTTCAGATTACATTTTAAATTACCTTTAACGAAATAGTAGTGTTGTTATGTGCAAAAATATTGCCCAGATCTATGTAAGAGGCCCAGAAGTCTTTCATAACTAATCGTGCTGCTTCGGAGTTTCGACAAAAAGCACATGAACCAACGTGTAAATGCCAGACAACTTGAAGAAGAAAGATCAGTGAAATATGCCATTCTAGAGAGGGCTAGAAATAATCAGGGCCATTGCATATATATATATATATATATATATATATATATAATATGACCAAGGATATATCAAACAGCAAGATAGTAGTTTTGTTTATTAAAAAGAATTTATAAAAGCGTTTTTGTTTTCGTATCCTACCATCAGCAGAATCGCTGACCTATATCAGAACAAAGTACTGAATGATGCCATTGACTTTGAAACAAATTCTTAGATTTTCGGTCTAAACAAATAACCAATGATTCAGATTTATGTGATGATAATTCCTCAGAATTATTTTGAGTTATCGTGCATACTTAAAACATGTTTCAATTTACTTCTAGTCACTTCAAGCTTCTTGATTTTGACAGGATTGTTCAACCACTAAAGGTACTTTAAATCGGTAGTACTAAAATCAAAGTATGCATTTATTTTTGTAACCAAGTGGATATTTGTAAGGTAATAATACTGTTAAAACTGTCAGGGTAGACATAAAGATACCTCATTTATCAATCTTGTAGACTAAATATTCTTCTTCAACCTAGATTCAGAGTTGTACCATTGATTTTTCGTTAGTTTGGATAACATTATCAGAAAAAATATCCAAATTTCTATAAAGGACTGACTGTTTCAACTTCTGTCAGTTTATCATCGAGGATTTGTGGAGGAAGTTTACTTTTCTGTACCAAACCTGGAAGTTTACGGTGGTGTGGAAAACTGTATAAACTGTGATCTTTCTACTAGATATTTTGAGTATTTTCGAGCATTAAATCTTGTATTTTCAGTTTTCTTTTCCTCTGTGGATCTTACTAAATTGGATGCGGTATTTGAACAGCCAGTTATTTCGTTGTCTACCGTTGAAGTAATCTTCTTGTACAATAGCAGTTTTCTTCCACTCATGAACCGTCTAGTTTTCGGGTAACTATATGATTCAGTAACTTGGATTAAAATCTTTTTGATAAAAGCTGGTTAAAAATGTTTCACTTCAGCGTGTTGAAGAGTTCTATCTTAAATCAGGTTACAGGCTTGTATTACGTCGCATTGTTTCTTTCGAAAGCTTAGAAAGTGGTTTTTATAAAAACTACTTAACTACTTCTATTTCTTGTTTAGATTTTTATTGAGTTACGTTTGTCTAGAACAGCTGGGAAATCCTTCTTTCCATTGGGTAGTAATACTTATGTCTTAACAATAAATCTGCTATGTTGCTATATATACTGCTTTTATCTTCTTCATTCTATGACCAAATTCCACAAAAGTCAACAATATACGAGGAAAACTTGGGCACTGTAGTAAAGTATAGTTCTGTATTAGATTGTTTATTTGATATGCAACCCAGCAGTGCAGTATAATTTACTGGATGACGTTTTGAATAGAATTTATTGCTGGTCTTCATATAAAAGTAACTATGTGACTTTCAAACTTCCTTCATATGTAGTCCAATAGTTCATCAGTTTATTTTAATGGTATCAAAATTTTTCAGATATCTGCAATATGTGATGAATCATTCCTGTTACATGTATTAGTGATCGAATAGTTACTTATAGTCTTCTTCAGTCGATACGCTTTGATAAGAAATGTATATTTCAGTATGCAATGACTACTTACTATTATACTTTGACTTTTCTCATACAGATAGCAGTTTAACAAAAATACATCGACTGACAATCCGAATCATATGTTACTTGGTGCTCAGCATATTTTACACATTCACATTCCACTTTTACAGATCACCCAAGTACTTGGTTAGATTAGACTTGGTCATTTATAACAGTGAATTTAGGAATGCAAATTCCATAGTACTTTTAACTCAGACGACAATCTAGTATCTACTGTTTCAAACCCTGAGGCATCATTCAATATGCTGCTCGGTAACGGTAGTCGTCCGTTGTTACTGGAGTCAAACTATTCCCATTAGTAAACTAATGAGGCTAAAGTGATCAGCTTGTGTGGATACAGGAGATTCTAGTATGGATGCTTTTACAAGCAGACAGTGATAGAATCCACGATTTCCATTTGATCATTTTTCAGACTGAATGCACATGTAATCCAGGATGATATTATTCTTACTAAAGCTGATCACTTTAATTCGACAAATTCAAAAATATGAAAGGCCAATTCGCAGTAACCAGCAGAATATTTTGAACAAAGAACAGTTATGATAATTTATTAGCTTAGCAGATAAAATTGTAATATTCAAGATGAGAATCGGTCAGGTTGATTTTAGGGAATAACAACAACATAGGTTATCTACACCCAGCTGATGAGATCAAAATAGAAAGAAGAGCTTGTCTTTTATTTCCAATACTTTGTCTTAACAAGTGTAAACAAACAGGGGCGACTTTAAAGGCCATTCTAGCAACGGTCGAAACAACTAATTAGGTTTTTTCGTTTCGGCTCTAAAGGCAGATTTTCATAAAATAAGAAAGTCTGATTGGTTATTTCAGTTATTGCTAAGATAACCTGTAAAATCACTCACAAATAGAGTACCGAAAAATTTGCACTAGGAGTGAATAGGCTAAAGAAGGTTAGTTAGTTCACTTCTGTAAATTCAGCAATTTATAGGAATAATCTTTAACAGCCTGATTGAAAACAGTTTAATTTTATTCTCGAAGATATATCTGGTTATAAAGCATGCTTTTTAATGATTGTTGAACTGCCTAAATCCGAATCAGCTTTTAGTTGAGTTAGAACGTATAAATTTAAGATGATTAAATACACTAAATATTTTTTTGGTGAGATTTCATGACGTTTTAAACAAGACTAAAAAGACAGATTCACTAATCTGATGTTTGGAATCAGTAGACAGTGAAATTAAAACCAGTGTCTTGCATTATTCACAACAATACAGCTAAATATTACCATAGTGATTGCTAAATATATCACAGAAACATAGAAATATATGTTTGAATACAAAAATAAGTGTACAATTTATTTTTCTTTTAATTTTGTAGAAGCTGAATTGGATAATGCTAATAAGCGTCCACGAACAACTATATCAGCTAAACAACTAGAAGCTCTTAAACGAGTATATAGTGAAAGCCCTAAACCTGTACGTCATGTTAGAGAACAGTTAAGTGAAGAAACTGGCTTAGATATGCGTGTTGTACAAGTATGGTTCCAAAATCGTAGGTAAGTTGAAATATGGTATAATGGTGTATGAAATAATTTGCGGTATGTAGTAAACTTTTTCAGGTAGCTAATCCAATAACGGTAAGTTCAGAAATATTTCAGATATATCGTACATAAAGTAACAAAGTCTTTGACAGGTGCTCTAAAGCATATTTTGAACCGAAAAATATTCTCATTGGATTCTGTAAGGAAGTGAAACCACTAACTGAAGCATTCGGGTGATATGATGGAAAAATAATCAAAGTGAACCACATACATCTATTCCTTACCTTCTCTCTAGTTCCAGGAATCTTTATTTCATGTCTGAATGTATCGTCTTCTTCTGACTATTGCACTTTATGGCAATTATTGGTATTACACATCCCCGTTATCGAAATTGCTGCATTATGCAAATATGAATCCTAGCAAAAAGGATGTATGCAGCTGTTTCAAGTTTTATATTGGTACTATCCAGGAAAAAAAGAAAGGTTCAACCAAGTGAATGGTTTCAGTAATATGTTCCATTTAAAGTTAGACTTGACGATGAACTAACCTTGGTAGAAAGCTCATTAGGAACTAGAAAATACTCAACGCTGCTGAAAACTGTTTAGTAAGGTCTAGAAGTGTTTCAGACTAAGAAGTCTAATATGAGAACTGACCATCTACCCAGCGCTCACCGGTAACTCCCCAACAAAGACTACTTGGTAATGAAAATCTTTCCAGTGTATTCACTAGGAATGAACTAGTCAAGAACCATATATCAGATACAAGTTGTTAATTGAGTGAACCTTTCATAACATGGTGCATTTTCGAGAAAATATTCTATCTTTCTAAAGTGAAAAAGTCAATTTAACTAGTTTTATAGATTTCCGACTTTAGTATTGTATGAGGAATAAAATGAACTTCACAAACACTTTATCAGGTTACTACCTGTAATTTCCTGTCATTGACTGAACCGAACTGATCGGCCATTATCGGCTTCTGAGTTCCTGTGAAGTAAAAAAGGGGATTTTCCGCTGCGAAGATATGATGAACTAGACATTTGATACTTGGACGATGTCGGATGCTTTATATGGATAAATGGGAAGGCCTGATCAAACTGGGTTTCATGCTCGTTGACTGTCATCACTAAAGTGTATCTTTTACCTTGAGAATGCGGGTGCATCTCCGCGTGTTTGAATTGGCATCAACTAGCATCTCAGTAAAAACCCTTGATATAGTGCTATTCGGCTTCATACTGACATTCGGTTAAATACACTATCGACAGCTCTAGTGATGAAGTTCTCAGCACTACTGGTGAATTAAGACAGAAAATGCCTATCTGATTTATCGTGATAAAACTGGTTTATTGACAGAAGTAAAGTAACCGATAGAATTCAGGGCAATAGTGGTATAAGGACCCTGTTTCAGCATTCATATATCATGGGTATAATTAGTAATAAACTAGTAAATACAACCTTTCGATTTGACAAAAAATCGATCAATCCATCTTCATTTCTGATACTTAAAGTATTCCTGATAGCTAATATACACCGGATAATATTTCGTGATGGCTTCAAGTGGGAGTGAGGATCTGATTTTAGTCATATTTAGGATATTCCCTAGTCGATGTGAATTTTATCGTTCGGTAGGTTAATGAGAACACAAAAATTCTGTTGATAACTAGTTATATCATCGGAAGAATGTGCCACCTGAGAGAGTCGGAAAAATGAAGACGAAAATGAACAGTGACATAGTTGATCCTAGTCTTGGTAAGAAAAAAAGGTTGCCAAGGTAGGTGCAATGTAATAAAGAAATTTTCTTCTATAATATGCTTAACTATAGATGAAGAGGATTCTTTCCCACATACGCTCAACGTGGTATTCTCACTCCACTTGTTTTCGAAGCCATTTAGGTACGTTTTCCTCACCCTCAGCTGTATGGCTCGATTACTCCTCCCTATGGATGTGTGACCACACGCATATATATAAACTGGTAAACACAATGGGATGTGACGTAATAATTGGTGCAGTGTTTGGGTTTGTGGTGAATCATATGCTTTTGAATACCTAGTTTCTTTTATAGACTTCGACAAGACAATAAGAAGACGTAAATTGTCTGAAGCGTGTAATGTATCTGCATGTGTTTTTTTTCACAATAACAAGATTAACTGTGTACTATGTTTTTCGTAATGGTTGTTGTCAGCATACATCTCAAAACTATACTACTTAACACCTCTTTGTACAGCAGAGTGATATGGACACTTTTTTTAGGAACCGTGGATAGAGTTAGTTTTGGTCTCATCTGACTTCTACAACGGTTTATAAACTCCAACCAGTTTACATGTGTGTGTGGTCACACATCCATATGGAGCAGTAATCAAGCCGTACAGCTGAGGGTGAGTAAAACGTACCTAAATGGCTTGGAAAACAAGTGGAGTAAGAATACCACGTTGAGAGCAGATGGGAGACAACCCTCTTCACCTATAGTTAAGCATATTATAGAAGAAAATTTTTTTATTACATTGCACTTAATTTGGAAACGTTTTTTTCTTACAAAGATTAGGATCAACTGTGTCACTCTTCACTTTTGTTCTCATTTTGCTTAATTTTAATCCCTCTATTATCTTAATGGTTATATTTTTGCTCCCACTCTATGGTCTAATGTAAATTGACTTGACAAGTAAATGTATGATCAGAGTAAGAAACGGCTTCATGGTATTCATCCTTACGGTTAGATAAGGTTATATTCGCCTTTTCAAGAATTTTTGTGGACACATCATCTTAGAGTTTATAAGCTGTAATCCTATGATCAATTATCCAATGTGATTAACTCTATAGATTTGTGTGGAATGCTTCATCATAAATTGAAAACTAATGGATTTTGTATTCCGTCTTTTGATAAAAATGATCAAAGAAGCAAGCACTTCTAAATGTAATAGTAGCGACATTGAGTTACTATTGAATTGACAAATTTGTTTCATAGTTTTACACCCTTTACATAAGTGCTGGCACTTATTGCCCCGGTAAACCAGCTTTTACCATAGAACTGAGTTTATAATCTGAAAAGTTCATCTATTCTGCTAAAGTATATGCTTACATCATATATCTCACTGAAAAGATTCTAAATGCCCATCAACTAATCACTTATCCAACAGAAACAGATCTAATTAGGAGGTTTGTGGGGATCTACTAATTTCAGGCTAGTATTTGTCATGACCTGACATCAGTTGGAGGAACATTGGAAACCTGGGACCACCGGACAGCTGCTTCATCTTAGTATGGGACTCTTCAGCGGTGCGTACCCACTATTCCACCAGGGGTCGAACCCAGGGCCTACAGGTCCTGCACCAAGCGTGTTTCCATTGAGCCACTGAGTCGAAGTCTGATGGTTCATATTTCCTACTTCTGTCAGCTAATGATATAACATGATCTCTATCCAATGGGATCACTGAGTAACTGTCGTCATGTCAGACTTGGTTGGCCCGATTGGTCACGACTTCGCACTGGAACTTTGCGAATCACCTGTCGAAGCTAGTCATTAATGAGCACTGGATTCATTCATACTAGGAGGAAACAGCTGTCCAATACTTCTAAGTTTCCAGTATTCCTCCAACTTATGTCAGTTCATGATGAATACCAACCTGAAAACACTTGTTATGATACCACAGTTCCTGATATTGACTTTGCTAACATGGGTGACAGTAAAGTTAACTACAGTTCTCGATAATAACGGCGATAATCACGATGATGATTATGAAAATAGGTGTGACTCATAACCAGCTACACTAAAGTGAATGTGGTAGAGGTGTTTCTAAACTCAAAACACTTAGTAAGGAGATGAGACAAACTTTGCTGTGAAATTTCTTAACTCATTCAGTTGGGAATAAAGCAGGTTACTCTGAGGTCATCTGTTCAAACACTACCATTACTTGAGTTCCTTTTTTTTCAACTTCATTCACAATCCCCCATGTATATAGTACAATCTGTCAAACAATACTATTTCAGTTAGTCTAACCAAGAATAAAAGTCATTATTAATTTATTAAAGGAAAAGATAATGGAACAAACACGTGGATATCAAATGGAACAAAGTTGGAAAGAACTACTGGTAGCATACTTTTTAACCGGACAAAGGTGTAATGAAGTATATTGTATGACAGGATAAAGAATACGTTAGGTGAATTTTCCACTAGTTTACCTATCCTTTCTTCCGTTAATACTAACGCCATCCATGCTACTTTCACACTAAAAGGATCATCGTCGTCAGTAAAATGACTGTTACTACACTTTGTAACAAAAATGCATCATCTCTGGTTATTTTGAAAAAAATTCAAGTGTAAATTAGGTAAGACATAAGTACACAAAAACTAACATCTGGAATATGCAAACCATAAATAAGCACAACAAAAAAAGTCAACAATGAAGAGAACTAGTACTTTTCTTTCTCTTCTTCCTTCTCTCACTTTTTCATAAACATTTTGTCTTACCCTTTTATTTCATTCTTAACCACCTCCATTCTTTTTTTTTACACCAAACACAAACTAGACAAAAGAAAAACTATATATAGATTTTTATAATGCATAGGCAATTGTTTCTCTGTGTCTTTCCTAATCTATCCACTGCTCTAGTTGTCTATGTGCACACAAATACAAATATTCCCTAGGGTAAAAGATATTATTATGATTACGGTTGATGAGAGTATTCCTTTCTATGGTTGTTGCTTACGTGGATAAGTTGAATTTCTAGTTCATTCATTCATTCATTCATTCATGCATACATACTACTTTATTCCAGTGAAAAATGCATAATTTATCACATAACCACCCTTGCAAAAGTTTATATCGATACAGATATTTTAGAAAAATGATAACTGTGTATATACTTCTCTCTCTCTCTCTTTTTATTTATCTCGCTTTTTTGCGTATTTGTGTGATTGTAAAGTCGTTCGCAATCTGTTCTTATCTTATATATATATATATATATATATATATATATATATATATATATATATATATATATATCAGAATATTTTAAGTCTTAAGGGAATAAGTTAAAATGAGAGAATATTATTATGATTCCTTTCTTTTTTCATTGAAACAAAAAAAGTCACTACGAAATACTGCTCAAATTTTCACTGATCATTAACCGACATTTTTATCATTTTATATTATAACTCGATGATAATATGAAAAATATTTACGTAAAGTTGCTCATTATTAAGTTGCGAGCAATATAGAATAAATTACATTTCGCAACTGTTGGCAGTGAACAAGTGTGTTTCATCTAACCTTCCTCTTATCAACTTAGCTTACCTGCATCTGTGTTTATCCTCTCACTGAAAGAGGAATCCAATATTCATTACCTTAGACTTCTAAGCGATATGAAGTCAGCATGATATATGTAAATCTCAAAGAAAAGTAACAACATTTGCTGAGATCCGTGTACTTCCAGCCGATGGAGTGAATGTATAAAGAAGAGTACGTCTTGGATTTCAATGCTGGCTGCAGTCAAATATAGTCAACATTTGATCAATGACAATAATAATGAAATTTCTGCATAAAGATGTCAGTAAAATAGGTAAAACTTCGAAAGTACTCTCTTTGCAGTGGAGAGTGGTTGGCTTACAACTATTTTATGAGAAAGCTAACAATACCACCGTCATAGCTGATGAATCTATGAAAAATTAACAAGAGGTGAGATAGTTTGAAAGTATGTTTCTAAAACTGATAACCACATAGAATAATGCAACTAGTTGAAGCTTCAGTGAAGCAGGTACAAATGGATGTATAAAAAACCTAGCAAATTGGTTATCCGTGTAGGATAGTTTGTCTGATTTCCCTTCTTGTACTTATAATTCTCCACCAAGATGGTGAGATCTAACATAGTTTCATCATGTTGTTGCTTGAGTCGTAGTGGGTACAACATTGCTTACTGGGAGGCAGGCACATCCAGCTGACGAGTCCTAAGAAGGGCAAATTATGCTTTCTGGATTCCATTGTTAGCCACTATCCATCATTAGTGATCTCATCAGTTTGAAGGTGTCTTCGTATCTTTTGTCGCTTAGTTATTCCATCACTTCCACCGATCAGCAATAGCATAAAAAATTTCATAACTGAAGGTAAAGAGACATTTTTCCCCCTTTGGTTCAATCTCTAAGAACGTGAATAAGTGTTTAGGCTTTTGATTTGATAAGATGGAAATTTATAAAAATATTTGGATGTAATGCTCATCTTGGAAAGACAACTTACTATCCTGTAACACAGGTTGGTAAATTCATATTTTGTACCATAAGGTATACATATCTAAGAAATCGATTTCCTAAAATTTTTTAACAATCAGGAAGGTCAGTACCGGCCCGAATAACTCAGTGTTAAAGTCGCTAACTACAACACTGGGTGGCGCGGGTTCGAATCTCAGGCGGAACATCAATTCCGTTTCGGTTGCAGATACACCTTGCTGAGGAGTGTCAACAAGCACGAAATCTGCCGATTGACTCCAACCAACTAACACACTCAAGGTTAACTTGATACACATGATTGAAGGATTCAGTATACACACTACCAGCAATTGATATAATTCCGAAACTCAACTGCATGTTTGCTTATTCAGGAATGGTAAAAACAGTTTATATTAAGACTGGTTGTCAGAGGGTTGTTAATCAGAATGACAAATGTTTAAATTGACAACATCTAAGACATCAGACAGGTTTTCAATGACTCTGTATTCTCCTGAGACACATAGATTGGACTTGCAAATCTGTACTTTTATGGATGAGTATAAAACAGCTAAGACTAGAAAAATATTTCCATTTAAGATTAGTATGAAATGGTAATTTTCTCAACCAAGAAATTGTGTACATAAACGTCTTAGTACTATGATCAGATAGGATGCAAAAACATTTTAGTAAATATTGCAGTGGATTAACAATTTAAGCTATCAAAACTTTGATGAACTTCCCTTAACTTTGAGGTAAGAATAGAAATATGAGTGAATTTGTGAACTGTATAAAGTATGGAAAATTTTCCATGCTGTTCGCAATTTCTTATTTTGTTTTCACGTTAATATTCATCATGGATTGACATCAATTGAAGAACAGTTGAAGACCTGATAGGAGTGGATAACTGTTTCGTCCTAATATGGGACTCCTCAGTAGCACATTCTTATTCAGAAGCAATTGAACAAAACAAAATAAAGTCACTCAGATTTTTTTATTCATCTTTCAGTGAATTTTAATTACAGTGGCAAATATTACAGGTTCATTTTTAAGTATATCTACTCCATACATAGTTCTCTCGCATTTACACTTTCTTATAGTCAGTCATTAACCAAGTTACTAATCCTTCATTTAAAGAAGAAAGCTACTTAGATTGTTGTATAATCCATAAGATGTAACCAAGCAAAACTCTTAACTGTTTGAAATGAAGAGCCTGCTAAAAGTGCTTCTTATGGCTCAGCTGGTAGAACACCTGACCAGTAATTTAGAGGCATACAGTTGAATTTCTGTCACAATCTAAGATTTTAGTTGGCTTTAAATTATCCCACCTGTATCAATATCCATAACATTAAGTTTTTAAAAAAGAGTCATCGTCAGTATGTTGCTAAAAACACGTCAAAAAGCTAAATACCATCTCCAAACAAAGTGAGTCACTGATGTCAGTCTACGATAAATACAAACTTACTCAGTAGTCTTGTACTCAACGCAGATATATTGAAATTCTATTGGTATTAGGAATGTATTTATTTTAACTCGTTTAATCGTAATTACCATACAAAAAGTAAGGTGAATATTGTAACAAATTATCTTCATTTTTTACGCTTTTCTTATTCATTTTTATTAGAGCAAAAGAGAAAAGATTAAAAAAGGATGCTGGACGGGGTTTATGGTCTATATCTGATTCACTGTTAATCAGCAGTTTGACTGTTAATGTCAGCACCTCAAATACACCAATCTGCAATAATGGATCATATTTGTATTCAACAGGTTCAAATGACCAAGATAAACATTCTATTCCATATTGTGGAGATACATCAGTTACCCTAGATGATTCAACCAGTGGGGATGAATATTTATCTAAAGATGAATTCCAGCGTTCTGGTCTAAGTAAGTTCATCTGCTGTTAACATAATTTTTTATTCAATGACTAGGAATCAAAGTGCTTTTCCACGTTTAAGTTTTTCTCAGTTGGTTTCTTGATAAGTATTTCATTGATGCTTAGGTAAACGATGAATAACGTGTAGAAACTTCTAGGCACACTACTTTTGACAAAATTATTTGGTATGTTTCTATTTCGACTACTTTACTCAGAAAATTTTGTCCTGCGAATAATCTACTCATTAGCATGGAGATCAAAGTTGTATAAAAGTCTGGATATTATTTTTGTTTAATTTAACACTAATGGTGTTATGAAGCAATTTCTTGAATATGATAGTTCCGATGAAACATTCACAAACGACTAAAAAATTTCAGAAAGCATATTTGAAAAACTATCATCTTCCACAAAAGACAGATGTTTTCATTCGTTTAAGATAAAGCGTTGCACAGAGGTAACGAACTGTTGGCAACGGCAGTCCATAAACATTTAACAAAAAGAAGAATAATATATTCAACAAATATTGAATAGGGACTCATTCTTATATTTTTACAAAAATATCTCTTTGAACATCGCTCTGAATCAAAATGACTTTGTTAGGCTGGAGAAAAATCTTCTGAAATTAACAAGGATTCAGGAATGATGGACATGCTAAATAAGTTTTTTTCAACTCTAAAAAATGAAAGAAACAATCAAAATTTCATATAAATTGAATGCAGAATGATTATTTCATGGAAGGCTAAATTATTTGTGATTCACCTGTTAGCTGAGCCATATGCAAACGCATAATGAATGTTTACACCTATATCTCTCTCCTTCATCAGAAAAAACACTAACCATCATTTCATCACATCAATAGTCATCCACGAAATTCACTCCACAGTCTCATCACTTATACCGAAGCCAACAGTGTCTTCCTTCACCTCAATAACAAAACAAACAAATGACTGGATATCCATGTCACTTCACAACCTACTTCACCACATTCAGCTCTATCCAACTCACTCAATCACTTCACCACCTACTTATCTCACTTTAATGAGAAGTGAATCTCACTGATCATACTTGATATATGTGAGTGAGTGAGTGAGCGCGTGAGTGGTATTTGTGTGCTATATGTTTGTGTATCAAAGTTGATAGCTGTGAACTTGAAGATATGATTGTGAAAGTACCAGAAGTCTGTTTCAGTGAATTACATTTCAGTAGTATCTCATTAATTCCTTACCCATACCTCGACTTGAGTGAATTTGATTGATTCAGTCATTTGACGTGATAAGATAATAAGTATAAACATTTAAGAAATGTATATATCTGTATGTTTATTAGATCTTCCACTACGAAATTATTACATTTATATATGGTACATGACCATGCTGAAGACTTTTTCAGTGTTTATCTAAGACGTTCTCGATAATCAGAACAGAATCATGTGATTGAATTTAGTCAATTTAGATTCAAGAGTAACTTGACACTGAAAGCCCACCTTCTCACTGTTAGTTTAATTGAGTTTACTCGCAGGTGTGGTAACCTTTCTCTATCTTAGAATACTATGATTACTATCTGAGGATATACACTATCCTTAATTACTTTTAGAAGAATGAAAAACTGTCAAAGATCAGGAGTCTTACTTAAAGTACTTCACTTTGTCGATATATTTATCAACGAAATTCATCCCTGTTCGCCTTCAATTTCTGGAAATAGAAATATAACATTTAAACGCTTTCACACTAATAAATTCGTCAAAAATTTTTACTAAACTTATGCTCATGAATTATGTTTTATCCTACTGTGTTTTCTGTATGCTTTAATAACAAGAATCTGTTTAAAAAAATGCTTTTAGGTGATACAGATAGTGACTGTTCAGAAAATGCTGAACATGCAAATCAGTCATTAGACCCAACCATGGTGGATGATTTCTTACATCATAAACATCATCTAGCAGATAAAACAACTAATGAAAGTCTACATATGAGTCGGAATGAATTTTTATACTGTGATCATATATCACCTAAATCTGCAAGTTTTCAGGCTTCATTTGAATCTAAACTATATTTAAATGAGTCAGTTGGTGAGACCATTTCAAGAAAAGCTGAATATGCTAACGAAACAAAAACCCATGATTTCAGTGATACATGGTTATCAACTTCTCATCATTTCCATCATCAATCATTTCCAATAAATAATCAACAATTCAAAGCCAATAATGATAGTAATATGATAACAACAAACACAGACAACAACATCATCAGTCTCTCTCCTTCGGAGAACAAACGAGATGATATCTTGTCTTTTACATCGAATCAACTAATTTCAAATTATTTGCACTTAAATAAAAAGCTTATATTCGATGATGAAATGACCACTGGAGAAACTTATTTACAGCCTGTTGACTTACTACCTTACACATTAAACACCAGCAATCTAACACAATATGGTATTCCTCAGTCGAGTTCATCTTGAGTGTAATTATGAATATGCTGACAATATATTAAAGCTGACATTTAATTGAATGTGGTATACATTATATTTGAGAGGAACCTAAATTTCACCTCCAGCAGATTTGGTTGATCATTTATATAACTGTGGTCATTTTGAAGGTTTGAAAAAAAGTGATAGATTGCAGGAGAAAAAGTTTCTTATGATATTTATCGACATGTGCAATTTAAGCGAGTAAATTGGTCGTTATAATATGCGCCGTTTTACCATCTTCTTTTATTACATTTCCAGCTATTAACTGGAGTTATTTCTTCTCTTTTTCATTCCGTTCCTATAAACAAATATTATAAAACATCTTTTGTTGTTTGATGATTTTAGCTTCAATGAAAAAAAACTGCCATCACCTCTTCTGTATTGTACTTACATAGAGGTCTTCTCTTTGTTTTCTTTTTGTAATACTGTAATATTTAACTTAGATTAAAAATGTAGATTCATTATCATAAATGTTCTTTGTTAAGAACTGAAACAAATTTCGTAACTATTTTAGAGCTTCCCAAAAGTGGCAGCACAAATGACAGAGTTCAAGCCTAAATAAAGCTTAATCAAATCATAAGGATAACAAATTACCGATTTATTATTGATCTAGGCAACTAGCGGAGGAATCAGGGACTCGCGTTTCGTTCTATCCGGGACTCGTCAGCTGGATATAATTTCCCCTCACTGGGTGGTGTTGTTCCCACTGAGGTTCAGACCCAGTATCCATCGCCTCAAACTCCAAGGCGTTATTCACTAAGCCACTGCGTACGACAGCTACCTCTTGTGCAACGGGTGACAGTAGCTGTTATGATATTTGTAATTTCCCGTATATATATGGAGCCGAACTGCTCGACCTCTGTTAGCAGATGGGCTCGAATGTGGATGCCTCGATACTGCCGGATATTCATGAGTCTCAGTAGGAATAATATCACTCACTGAGATGCAAGTACATCCTGCTGACGATTCCTAAGTAGTAGATTCCTAAGCGCCTTGGATTCCTCTGCTAGTCAACAAGATCAGTATAATATCATGAATATCCGACAGCATCGAGGCATCCTCATAGGAGTCTATCTGCCAACAGAGGTCGAGCTATTCAGACGTGTATATCAAAGGGAAATTACAAATATAGTGACAGATTGTTTGAATTTTAAGCAAACAATTAACGATCACGGGGAATTGTTTTTCTACAACAGTTCTTATATCCTGATCGAGTAAATAACCACATTGGTGCATGCATGCGTTTTATTATCCGATCTTACTTAGTTTATCTTGTAAGTAAATACACCAAGTAATATACAAATAATTGCTAACTTTAACTCCTTAACTAAGATATATTTGTAGCAATCAATATCCAGCAGTACCATCACTGTGAACCATTCCTACGAATGTATGAGTAATGAACTAATAAACTACTTAGATATTGTATTCATCATGGAATGACATCAGTTGGGGAAGCATTGATAATCTGGCAACACTGAACACTGGGTCTGTTCTCAGTGGCTGAGTGATTATTGCGTTCACCGTGAAACCCGAAGGTCTTGAGTTCAATCCCTAGCAGGGTCGTGGAGTGAGTACTGTCGAGGAGTCCCATACGAGGACAAAACAAGTGTTCAGTGCTCCCAGATTATCAGTGCTCCCCGACTGATGTCAGTTAGTCTAAATTAAAAATCCCTATTCATGTCAAAAATGCAATAAATTATTTCTCAAGTGTGACTCAGTGAAATATACATTCAGTAGTCTTGATGTTATTACACTCACTCACTCACTCACTCACTCACTCACTCACTCACTCACTCACTCACTCACTCACTCACTCACTCACTCACTCACTCACTCACTCACTCACTCACTCACTCACTCACTCACTCACTCACTCACTCACTCACTCACTCACTCACTCACTCACTCACTCACTCACCCACTCACTCACTCACTCACTCACTCACATATATCAAGTATGATCAGTGAGATTCACTTCTCATTAAAGTGAGATAAGTAGGTGGTGAAGTGATTGAGGGAGTTGGATAGTGCCGAATGTGGTGAAGTAGGTTGTGAAGTGATATAGATATCCAGTCATTTGTTTGTTTTGTTATTGAGGTGAAGGAAGACACTGTTGGCTTCGGTATAAGTGATGAGACTGTGGAGTGAATTTCGTGGATGACTATTGATGTGATGAAATGATGGTTAGTGTTTTTTCTGATGAAGGAGAGGGATGTATAAGTGCACATTTTGACTATAGATGTTTGTATTAGACTGGGCCAATAGCAGAAACGTGTATGCATTTTAGTACATTGTATAAATACTGATAAGACCATTGCAATGTGGTATCATCTGGCAATACATTCAAGTGTTTGTCGAAATCGAAGTACTTAAATAGATTTTTGGCATTAGTTTTTGGGAATTCAAACGCTTCATGAGTCACAAATAGTTTGTTCCATAGTATCTAAAGTACATTGAATTTATAATGTTTGTATCAGTGTCATGCTCAACTAAAAACATATAGACATTCTTGGCGTTTTTCAGTTAACAAAGTCAATTCATGACGTAAAATACCTTCAAGACATATAGTCGTTTGCAAACGATTTCAGTGAATAATAGTATGTTGCTTATTGATAATCAAGGGAAGTGAGACCAGAGCGATATACTCATTAATGAATACGTTATATTTCGAACTGACTGAAAGTGAAAAGTACGAACTCAATAACTAAGTGATAATGTATACTTGATTAAATTTGATTCTTTCTCTGAATCTCTAATTACAAAGTGACATTGTTGCAGATATGCTCAAAAAGGACTGTCAGAATCCTTAAATAAAACATACTTCGCTACCAGCCTTTGAAGCGTTTCCTCCTTCATAAAGTGCTTTTGTTCAGTATGTGAAAGACAAGTTGACATATTGGCTGATATCAGTATGTGTATACCAGTTTACTTGTTCCTGCTGAGTTGAGTACATTTACTGTACCATGAGTCCGCTTGTAAGACGTGCTTGTTAAAACAACCCAGTCTAGCTAGAAAATAGAGAACGGAACTATATTTTTAGCTCAATAACAGAACACTCATCTCATCTTGAGAACTCATTCAAAATCCTCTACGGGGTTCGGTTAAACCATTCAAAGGGGATGGCATCAAGGTATTTAGGTATAGGTGAAGCAGTAGGGATTCAGAAGCTCAAACCAGTGCTTTGTGTCCGTAAATGGTATGGGCAACCTGTTTTTGCGTGGTCATCATGAGGCTTTGATTGTAACAGATAAATGCTGCATTACGCAATTGCACTTTTTATTTCAAAATTTTTATTTACTTTCCTACTCTAAGCTCTCATTTATAACAAATAACTTCCTTTTATCATTCAGTATATTTTGGCCCCGGGTCAGGAACAATTCTGGGATATTCTACCCTCCGTAGCACATATTCACAGATTTATAGCTTAGTAAATAAGTTCGTCGAAAAGAAAACTATTTCTTCTTTGCAACCATCTTTTCGTTCTATTAATCTGAAATTGTTGCCTGCCGTATCAAAAAATGTTTGATAATTATCAATAAGTATCAAACTGTTATAATATACCTGTCTAATGCTCAGCGGCTTCAGTGGTTTCCCATGCGACATTACTTTAGGTTACCTGAAATAACGAGAAGTATTCAACGTTCATTTCAGTCTATCAAGAAGCTGACTAAGAGTGTTGACACTGAAGCGTGGTAACCAGTGAAGCAATTTACATCATTCTGTGTTTGAAGATTAATTTCCATTACAGTACTGTTAAAATTACTCCCATTTAACTTGGTTTTGCTCACTTAACATACCATGATTCCTCATTCCTTATCTCAAAGTGATTCTTGTTGATCGACGTTATAAAAATATCCGTAAAATGTCTGCTTTGGTAGATGATAAATATGAGAAGGCGTCAGTTGAGGAATGGATTATACTTGTAGAATTGAATACTGGTGTATACGAAAATTCACGGCTATAATCGGTCATTGAACTGTTCATTAGTGATCAAAATTGATTTTGAATTGATCTATTTCCCTATATCGTTAGATAATACAAGGTGTTAGGGGGATTCGCCACATTGTCTTGTTGTTTATGCCAACGGAATGAATTAAAATTTAAAATAAAAACTATTAGCAGAACATATTTAAACATAAATAATATTTTGAACATTGAATATGCGCGTTATTTCTTTGCTTGTCTATTTTAGCGCCAATTTAGTTTACAATTCATTTTGATGTTTGCCGATGAAATGGTATCCATCTTCTCAGATAGTTTGAAATTTATATCAGTCAGTAGCTTATGCGTATAATGCTCCAGTTTTTCTACTATAACTTATCAGAATATAAACGTAGTCATATTATTTAAAATATTAATCTGTATGAAGTAAGCATGTATGCATTTTCAATGGTGTGTAGTAATAATGCATTATTTGTGAGTTAAACATTCTTGCATACACTATACACATATTTTAGAGATGGTAAATGAACTTTTGTTGTCGGATGTTTTATACTATTCAAACGTTATTTTTAACATCGTAAGTTAGAATAAAAGTGAATCCACTTCACATTAAGCAAAACAGAATACTACCATTCTGGTAAGAAAGTAAAATATAGTATTAAACAATGGAAAGAAAAAATGATTGCTTTGATGGAGAATCAGGTGATTTGAGCTCTGAAGTGATTTTAAATCAATAAACCTATTGCTTCATTGATTATTGCCATGCTATTAAGTAGACAGCAAACTTTGTGTGAAGTCTGTTTTGGAGAATTCAACATCTTGTTGTCAATGAACTTATATAAACCTAAAAATAATGGCTACTGCTGATTCAGATCGCTGCTTTATTTAGGAGCCTATCCTGATATTCCTTGAACCGTGTTTTCAGGGATTGTTTCTCTTCGCGGATATGAAATGACATGAATGTGTTTCTTTTTTGACCAACAATAACTGGCTGATTAAGTTTGGTACTTGCAAATATGTAGTCTGAATGTTCAAGAACCTGTGATATTGAGTCATCCCATCATTCAAATAGCAGTTCTAAGTGGTCTGCTTATTCTAGTTGCGATCTTCAAGAAGTTATTCACCAGAAATAGAACAATTTATACATTGGTTTCCACTACCGACCTTGAATTTTATGAAAAATTTACAAATCATACTTCGACACTAGTGCTGATAATGTTATATGAAATATCAACAACGACTCAGTAATTAGGCTGTACAGTTAAAAAAAGTATTGACCTCAAAATTGAGCGTCCAAGATACAAATACTGTTCACCGTTTCACATTCACTTATTCGAACGTTGTAGTCATAAATGATTTCCGTTTATGTCATTTTCGTGATTCAGTGTTTTATAAAATCAATATGACTACAACTGGGTTCTTTTTGGGTTTTTTCCCAAAGTAACAAAGGATTTTAGAATGAAGTGAGACGAACGTAATCTCGAAACTACTGCAGATAATCAATCATATTCAGTCTGG